AAAGCCACGTATATATATGTGATTTTGCGCACCCCTGCCACCCTGTAGCAGTATTTCTGCTATAGGGCGGACAGAAAGCGGTAATTAGATCACTGTTAAATGTTACTTGCTAGCTGTTTAGCTTACTGTTAATTAGATCACTGTTAGCTGTACTGTTTACCCTTTGCACTGTTTAGCATAATGTGATCAACCTCTGAACTAATCTGTGTGTGAAATTTATCCCAATGTGCAGTATTTGTTTTTATTGTTCATTTGGGGACTGCCTCAGGTTCTGAAATGTATAAAAAACCTGTATTATTGTTCAATAAAGTAGTTCCAGGTTTGCACCTAAGTTACTGTTGCCTAGTCTTGGGTGCGATGCCCAGCTATAATACCTTGGTCCAGTGGCAAGGAAGCAGTTCTTTAGCGGAGGCACTCGAGCAGGGTTCCAGGCGGTCCGTCACAGATTTATATGGAAGAGTGCTCAACAATGATCAAAGAAGGGAAAAATGTGTAGGGAAATTGCAGATCATCATTGCTGACCACCACATCACCTGCCATATTGTAACAGTATCAGCCATTTGAAATCTGTTCTCCATTTTGTATCTAAAAAATGGTTGTTCTTTATGTAGATCTTGGTAAATAAGTGTAGAAAGGAAGAAGGCAGGTTATAGGATAGGGCCTATTACAAACAGAAAATATGGCAGTATAACAAGAGCAATGCTGCCTACAAAAAGTGGTTAATTGAAAATCCAAGCGGAGTAATATAACTGCGTTCAATAGCTACAAAAATATTTTATTTGATCCCATGGATCATAAAGAGGTTGGACATAGACACGGTGAACTAATCATGAAAAACTTACAAAATTAAAAACATTCGACATCTTCAAATCTGGTTATTTATTGGCAATCAGGAATCCACATAAGGCAATAGAGTTTCCTGACTACGTGATCTTAAATTTCCATATGGTTCCACATAATATCTGGATAGGGAGAACATTCTTCAAAGATATTCTTTGGTAAACACCACAATAAGCGGAATGACTTCCTATAATGGAAACCAAAGAAGGATCATAGTAGTGGAAACATAAAAAGAACAATGTATGCACAAGTCATGTACTAGAACAAGGCAGCCAAACTGAATGGTAAACTAATAGTTCCATTACCTTCTCATGAGCATGACCATCATGAAAAAATGATGAATGCAAGGCCTTCCTGGGTGACCACCCCAAGTGGAAATGAATCCACAATAGCAAGTGATTCTGAGAATGTATAAACATAAATCATGAGTATCAAACAAAATACCTGAATAGAATAAATATAAGGGTAAAAAATATATATTACCATAAGTAGGATCAAGGAGACTCCACCTCACTTGAAATGAGATCAGGTCTTAGTGTTTCTAATGATGAATATGGGGGTGGAAAACCAGGTGGTCTTTGTATATAAAATCCAAGCTGATTGTAACAGGCAAAAATATACCTGAGTGTATATACCCCAGTCAGGGTTTCCAAAAATTACTCTTACTGAGAGATGATGCGGTTCCTTATAGATATATGAGGCTACTATCACATACCACAGCACGTATGTGGCATAATGTAAACATATTTCTCCAAAAGGAGTTCAAAAAATTCCCCCCAAAAAAGGGGCTTATGGGCACATGGTTCCCAATATGTGGAGTATGCTCCCCGCATATAAATAGCAATAGAGGCTATCTAAGCCAAACAGACTAATAACTTGCCACCGGTGGAAGTGAGCTGTGACTCTAAGTCGCCATGTGCGGGCTGCTTAGGATGATAGCCTCATCGCGATCTTTAATGCCTCGTGCCTTTCCAATATGGAGCTGAAGCAAAATGCTTCTTCCCTCCTCGTGGGCACCGCTCCCTATGAAGACGCCGAGCGACTTAGAGTCACAGCTCACTTCCACCGATAAATAACCAGATTTGAAGATGTCGAATGTTTTTAATTTTGTAATTTTATCATGATTAGTTCACTGTGTCTATGTCCAACCTCTTTATGATCCATGGGATCAAATTAAATATTTTTGTAGCTATTGAACGCAGTTATATTACTCCACTTGGATTTTCAATTAACCACTTTTTGTAGGCAGCGTTGCTCTTGTCATACTGCCATATTTTCTATTATGTACCTTGGGTTTATAAATCCACATTTATATTATAAGTGAAGTGGAGATATTATTTTGACACGGATACACGTGTCATATTAGGTGGCTTTTTTTTTTCTTTTTGTTTGGTGCCTATTACAAACAGGTATCCAACACTGAAGAAACCATAATTAGCATCGAGTGGCTAAGTGTAGTGTTGTTTAGTGTAGATCCTGCCCTAAAAGAGTCTACCTTCTCGTGGTTTGGGACGCCTGCCTTTACACGCACATGAACTTGCATCCCAGTCTTAGTCTGTAGGGTTCAATATTGAGTTGGCCCAACCTTTGCAGCTATAACATCTTCAACTCTTCTGGGAAGTCTGTCCACAAGGTTTAGGAGTGTGTCTATGGGAATGTTTGACCATTCTTCTAGAAGCACATTTGTGAGGTCAGGCACTTGTGTAGGAGAGAAGGCCTGGCTTACAGTCTCCACTCCAATTCATCCCAAAGGTGTTCTATTGGGTTGAGGTCAGGAGCCTGTGCAGGTAAGTCAAGTTCCTCCACCCCAAACTTATCTATGTCTTTATGGACCTTGCTTTGTACACTGGTGTGCAATCATGCTGGAACAGGAAGGCGCCATCCCCAAACTGTTCCCACAAAGTTGGCAGCATGAAATTGTCCAAAATGTCTTGGAATGCTGACGTCTTAAGAGTTCCCTTCACTGGAACTAAGAGGCCAAGCCAAACCCCTAAAAAACAACCAACACCATAATCCCTCCTCCACCAAACTTTACACTTGCCACAATGCAGTCAGGCAAGTACCATTCTTCTGGCAACCACCAAACCCAGACACGTCCATCAGATTGCCAAACAGAGAAGCCTGATTCGTCACTCCAGAGAACACTTCTTCACTGCTCTAGAGTCTATCAGGTCGAGGGCAAGCCAGTCAAGTTCCTCTATCCCAAACTCGCTCATCCATGTCTTTATGGACCTTGCTTTGTGCACTGGTGCGCAATCATGTTGGAACAGCAAGGGGTCATCTCCAAACTGTTCCCACAAAGTTGGGGGGCATGAAATTGGCCAAAATGTCTTGGTATGCTGACGCCTTAAGAATTCCCTTCACTGGAACTAAGGGGACAAGCCCGACCCCTGAAGAACAACCCCACACCATAATTCCCTCTCCACCAAATTTTACACTTGGCACAATGCAGTCAGTCAAGAACTGTTCTCCTAGCAACTGCCAAACCCAGACATGTCCATCAGATTGCCAGACAAAGAAGCGCGATTTGTCACTCCAGAGAACACGTCTCTACTGCTCCAGAGTCCAGTGGCGCTATGCTTTACACTACTGCATCCAACGCTTTGCATTGCATGTGGTGATGTAAGGCTTGGATACAGCTGCTCAGCCATGGAAACCCATTCCATGGAGCTCCCTACGTACTGTTTTGCTAATCTGAAGGCCACACAAAGTTTGGAGGTCTTTAGCTACTGACTCTGCAGACAGTTGGCGACTTCTGCACACTGTACTCATTTTCAGCATGCGCTGACTCTGCTCATTTTACGTGGACTACCACTTCATGGCCGAGTTTCTGTTGTTCCCAGTTGCTTCCACTTTATTTATAATATCACTAACAGTTAACCGTGGAATATTTGGTAGCAAAGAAATTTCACGGATGGACGTATTGCACAGGTGGCAACCTATCACAGTACTACGCTTGAATTCACTGAAATCCTGAGAGCGACCCATTCTTTCACAAATGTTTGTAGAAGCAGCCTGCATGCTGAGGTGCTTGATTCTATACACCTGTGGCCATGGAGGTGATTGGAACACCTGAATGCAATGATTTGGAGGGGTGTTCCAATACTTTTGGCAATACACAAACACATACATCACATATATATACACACACATACAAATAAAATGCTAAACATATCTGTATCTGCTTACAAATAATTTTACTATAACATTCAGCTATGCTACAGAACAGATATAATATTACTTATGCATATGTTTAAACATTATTATGGGATAAACATGTGTTATAGCAAAAAACATGTGTTTCCAATACCTTTTTTGTGTGAAACTTACTTGATTTTTCAGACCAAATATCAAGGGTGCCAAATCACAGGACATTACTGTATATATACACACACATTTAAAATTGCTTAAACTTCTGATATCTGCTTACAAATAATTTTACTATATCATTCAGCTATGCCTACAGCATAACAGGTATAATATTACTTTTTATGCATATGTTTTTAAACATTATTATGGTTCTAAAATTATATAAAATGCATCAAAGAATGTAGTAAGGTTTGTAGAAGCAACATGAAGCCAAGTATTGAGTTTAAAGAGCAGCTGTTACGACTCCATCAGAATTACTTACTTGGTAATTTTATTGTAAAAATTTGACATAAAAGGCAAAATGACCATGTTTCCCTGAGCAGGAAAGACTGTGCAACTCAGTATGCATTTCATCAATATTCTGCAGTCACACATCGAAGAATGAGGTAGGTGTTCCCATAGCAGGCGATTAATTTAGCATCATACGTCAGCACTTAGGAAAAAAAAACATGACAAAAACTAATGTTTTTTTTATTGCTTTTAGCATCATATACGTGGTTTGGTAACTTGAAGCTCTTCACAGTCTTCTTTAAAGTCAGTCATTAATACATCCCTTATAATGAGAGAGTGAAAACAGTTACAGATGTCTTAAAAACAGGAAACATCCCTGTCTTGTCTACATGTTATAAGCTACACACAGACACAATAGGAAGACGTTGTCTTCCCATGACCAAAGGCACAGGATAAAGAGACAGAACATTCTAAGTGCTGGCAACAATATGAAATGAGGTAAGAAATTCTGGCGACAAAATCAAATTTGATTAGAAACTACCTAAACCTAATTATCATCCCTAATGAATATAAATTCTATCAGATATAGCACCAGGCAGGTGGGTCATGACCTGCATTCTAAGCCACCAGTAATAATCCATCGGGTGGTAGCGAGTGTAAGGAGTCGTAGCACTTAGAGCATGGGTGATAACGTCAATGACAGGCGACGTATCCGTTGAGCCACTATTACAATATGTGTGCATTCTGGCGATCTTCTCATCAAAGTATTTTCTCCCATAATCATTCTTCACAATTTCAGGTAAATCAGCCCACATCTTATCAGCAATAGCTTTGATCTTTTCTGGACTGTACAGGCTTGTGGCTGCAATGAAATTTCCAGGTTCAACCACACTGACTTTCACTCCCATTGGGTGCATCTCATAGCGCAGGCAATCAGAAAACGCTTCTACCCCAAACTTGGTGATACAATAGGGGGAACGAGCTGGATTTGCCATGCGTCCCAACATGCTGCTAACATTCACCACACGACCTGAAAAGAGAGATATCAAGGAAGATTATAATAAATGCATGGGCATAAGTCAGGTATTATAAGCAAACATGTTAGACTTGGTCATCATAGCTATAAAGTAGTTTAACTGCACTAATATTTTCAACTCTGTCTTATCTATGCAGCAGATGGCTATGACAGCACTTAACCTCCCTGATGATTATTTCAGATTTTTGGTGCTGAAAGCGGTACCATTATTTTGCATGGAAATATGTAGTTTTTTTATTGTAGGCTGTAATATTTAGGAATAACTCACTGAAATCTGTCTGAACAAGAATCTATTAAACATCCCGGGTATGATAAAATTTGAAACACAAAATCATAAATTATAATTTAATAAATAATCATAAAAAATATAAATATAATAATAATACATTTAATTCAATAATATAATCAAACCAAAACACTGAAATTTGAAATATAGCGCCAAGTTTGCACATCGCTGAGCAAAGTCACAAAATTGTTTTCAGTGTCTGATGACGAAATTTCTCCACGAATCATTATCACTCAATTCTGCAAGTGGTTCTCATTTACTATCGCTGTTCTCTAGCTGGTCTAAAACCACTTTTGACCTAAAAGGGGACACTTTTTGGATGCCATGGACGTTTCTCAGTTTCCAGGCAGAAAGAACATTCAAAATGCAGACAGGGGACAGGACAGAGCACTAGGCACAAAATGTATGTGAAATGGGTTGAAACAGCAATGTTTTACTAAGTAAAATCGTTTTTAAAAAAAAAGAAATTTTTTTTAAATTTTCAAATTTCCCACCGTCGGCGGTGCCCGTACGTCCCGACGTCACAGGGACCGGAATACAGGAGCCGGATGCCGGCATCAGCCAGAGGAGATGGCCGGGGACGCTGCAGGGGACACATCGCGGGAGCGAAGGACAAGGTAAGTGCTGCAGGGACTCCCTATGCAGCGCCGCATGGTAAGCCCGAGTGTAGCTCGGGGTTACCGCTTTTGGTACTGACATTTTACCCCGAGCTACACTCGGGAATACCGTTAGGGAGGTTAAAGGATAAGTTCACTCTTTGGTAAAAAAAAAAATAATAAATGCACATTTTTTTGCAGGTATCAACAGCTAAGACTGTCGGGACTTGTAGTTTCTCATTCACAGAGGACTGTGAATGAGTGACGTGGCCGGCCAGGCGGAGCCCTGCACGGCCACTTTTTTTTAAATTGACAGCCTTGTCAAAGCGGGGGATTGGCGGGAAGCAGGGGTCAGTGCTTTCATAACATGTTACACCCTGAATACGCGTGTAACATATTATGTAAGGTGAACTTATTCTTTAAAATAATGGCAGTACACTTTTGGGATTTCCTAAAACTGGAGAGTGCAAAATCTGGTGCACCTGTGCATGGTAGCGAATCAGCTTCTAACTTCAGCTTTGACAAAAAATAAAAAAATAAAAAAAGAATTGGAACGGATTGGTTTCTATGCACAGCTGCACCAGATTTTTGTGATGTCCAGTTTTAGTAAATCAACCCCAGGGTCTGCTTTTTGTGTAGAATGCATATAAAGATGATAAACATTATCTGACCACCTAGCTGAAGATTAAAGGGACCTATCTCATAGCCGCTCTGTAACCTGTTTGACAATTATGTATTTTGCTAAAAAAATTTGTTTTACACATATGCATAGTCCAGAACAACAGAAAACAGTGTTTCCATGTACAGTATTGGCACATACACTATATTGGCAAAAGTATTAAAACACCACTCCAAATCATTAGAATCAGGTGTTCCAATCACCTCCATGACCACAGGTGTATAAAATCAAGCATCTAGGCAAAGGTTTGTGAAAGAATGGGTTCCTCTCAGGAGCTCAGTGAATTCAAACTTGGTACCATGATAGGTTGCCACCTGTGAAATAAGTCCATCCATGAAATTTCCTTACTAATGTCTGCAGAGTCAATAGCTAAAGACCTCCAAACTTCACGTGGCCTTCAGATTAGCACAACAGTATGTAGAGAGCTTCATGGAATGGGTTTCCATGGCCGAGCAGTTGCATCCAAGCCTTACATCACCAAGTGCAATGCAAAGTGTCTGGGTTTGCCTGACTGCATTGTGCCAAGTGTAAAGTTTGGTGGAGGGGGGATTATTGTGTTGGGTTGTTTTTCAGGGGTTGGGCTTGGCCCCTTAGTTCCAGTGAAGGGAACTCTTAAGATGTCAGCATATCAAGACGTTTTGGACAATTTCATGCTGCCAACCTTGTGGGAACAATTTAGGGATGGCCCCTTCCTGTTCCAACATGACTGCGTACCAGTGCACAAAGCAAGGTCCATAAAGACATGGATGAACGAGTTTGTGCAGGCCAGTCAAGTTCCTCCATCCCAAAGCCCTGACCTCAACCTGATAGAACACCTTTGGGATGAATTAGAGCGGAGACTGCGAGCCAGGCCTTCTTGTCTGATATCAGAGCCTGACCTCACAAATGCGCTTCTAGAAGGATGGTCATTCCCATAGACTCTCCTAAACCTTGTGGACAGCCTTCCCAGGAGAGCTGAAGCTGTTACAGCTGCAAAGGGTGGGCCAACTCAATATTGAACCCTAAGACTGGGATTCCATTAAAATTCATGTGCATGTAAAGGCAGGCGTCGTAATACTTTTGGCAATATAGTGTATATAAACGCACTCTCCCCACCTCCCACAACGCAGCACTTTCTGCCTAAATGGACAAGCATCCCCCCTGAGCACTATGACATTATGTTTTTGTCTTCCCTTATGCAAATACTTTCAGAAAGCTGGTTTTTGCATGAGCTTGTCAGAAAACTGGGTCACCAGATGAGCGTACATGAGGTGTGATGCAAATGTAAGAGCAAGCACCTGCGATAAAGCTGTACTGTTACTTTATCACTTTGTTCTAACACTGTCTTCTAAATACAGAATTGCTTTAATGGTGTACTGCATACCCCAGCCCAGTGCGACCTCAGTGTTGAAAACAATGTTTCTCCTAGAAGCTACTCTGCTTCCTTACACATAGCAGGCTTAATGCATCAAGGTGTTCTAATTAAAACTGGAGTCAGCACCCCAAAGCCAAACATCCTGCCCTAAATCTCTTAGTATCATTGGTGACTGTAGAATCATGAGGGAAGACAACCTGCAAAAAAAAGCTTCAGATTTATTGATTCTCCGCAAAAGGCACAATGTCAGTACAGTAGTTAACGTATTTCAGCCTTGACGGCCTTATTCATAGAACAAAATGGTTATGAAAAAGGCAGACAAGGCTGAAACACGTTAACAACTGCTGTACTGCATTGTTCCTTTTTGTGGAGAATCAATAAATCATAGGATTTTATATAAGATTTTTTTATAAGAGCATGTACAGAGTTGCGGATTGTCTTCCCTCACAATTGTACCTGCAGCTGTGCGACTGCTCATCATGCGCCCCTCAGCTCAGAAGGATTTCTACGTATTACTGGGTTGTGTGTAGCAGTTTAATTCTACTATATGGGCTGTGGGTAGAATACAATAGCCAGCATTGCTTATTAGTTCATCTGTGCTGTATATTCTGGATGAAGGTTAAATTGTCTTCGCTCAATGAAAACAAATCTATCAGTGTATGGCAAGCTAAAAAAGGGGATTCATTGAGGACACTAAGGGCTCGTTCACACTTGGCTGTTTTACCAACGCTTGCCAAACGCCCCTATAGCGTTTGGCAAGCGTTGGTCCCGCGTTTGCGGAGCGTTTTTTGACGCTCCGCAAACGCCACATGCACAGTTTAGCGGCAGTTGCTAGGTGTTTGCCGAGCATTAAAAACGCCCCACAAACGCCTATAATGCAATTTGAATGGTGTTACCGCTCCGCAAACGCCCCGCAACCACGGTGCAACCGAACCGCAAACGCTGGCCGGGAGCGGCACCATAGACTAGAATAGGAGGCTTCAACGCCTCCTGACTCGAGCAGAGGCGTCCGTTTTGCCGCGACGCAACACGAAGCAACGCAAATGCTCTCCGTTAGAACAGCACCATGTGCTGTAATGTGCAGAATTGGCAGAGGCGTTTGGGAAGCGGTAAAAACGCTTCCCAAAAGCCTCTCTGCCGCCTGCACACAACGCTAGTGTGAACGTAGCCTTACTGTGATGAAAGAAAACATATTTTCCTCAGTTTGAAGAGATATTCCCTTACTTAGGGGCAATTGCATTAAAAACACATAAAACAAAATTAGAAAAAAAACTAAGATTTTAACCCTTCCTACTCTATTCAAAAGAATTCAAAACATACAATATCTCATAGAAGTGAGTACACCCCTCACATTTTTGTAAATATTTTATTCTATCTTTTCATGTGACAACACTGAAGAAATCACACTTTGCTACAAAGTAAAGTAGTGAGTGTACATTGTATAGCGGTGTAAATTTGCTGTCCCCTTAAAATATCTCAACACAACCATTAACCCCTAGACGCCAAGCGCACGCAAATATGTGGCCTCTCGGCCTCTGGGCCTTGACGTCCAGCAGACGCATATTTGCGTACCATTTGAATATACATATGTGCTGAGAGCGCGCACCCTGCGCGCTCCCAGCACGTGTCCGTTACTCACGGAAAGGTCCCAATCTCCCCTTGCGATTGGGAACTTTTCCGATCAGGTGACCGCCGTGACAGCGAATTACGGTGGTCACATGACCCTAAAACCCCACCCCGCCTCCCAGCTTCTGAAACTCTTAAAGGGCAGGGAGGCGCTAAACCGCTGGCAACAAAGGTGAGTACACCCCTAAGTGAAAATGTCCAAATTGGGCCCAAAGTGTCAAAATTTTATGTGGCCATCATTATTTCTCTTCCACTCCTCCATGATGACATCACAGAGCTGGTGGATGTTAGAGACCTTGCGCTCTTCCACCTTCTATTTGAGGATGCCCCACAGATGCTCAAAAGGGTTTAGGTCTGGAGACATGATTGGGCAGTCCATCACCTTTACGCTCAGCTTCTTTAGCAAGGCAGTGGTCGACTTGGAGGTGTGTTTGGGGTCTTTATCATGTTGGAATACTGCCCTGCGGCCCAGTCTCCGAAGGGAGGGGATCATGCTCTGCTTCAGTATGTTACTGTACATGTTGGCATTCATGGTTCCCTTAATGAACTGTAGCTCCTCAGTGCTGGCAGCACTCATGCAGCCCCAGACCATGACACTCCCACCACCATGCTTGACTGTAGGCAAGACACACTTGTCTTTGTACTCCTCACCTGGTTGTTGCCACACACGCTTGACACCATCTGAACCAAATAAGTTTATCTTGGTCTCACCAGACTACAGGATATGGTTCCAGTAATCCATGTCCTTAGTCTGCTTGTCTTCAGCAAGCTGTTTGCAGGCTTTCTTGTGCATTGTCTTTAGAAGGGGCTTTCTTCTGGGATGACAGCCATGCAAACCAATTTGATGCAGTGTGCAGCGTATGGTCTGAGCACTGACAGGCTGATCCCTCACCCCTCCAATCTCTCTGCAGCAATGCTGGCAGTACTCACATGTCTAATTCTCAAAGACAACCTCTGGATATGATGCTGAGCATGTGCACTCAACTTCTTTGGTCGACCATGGCAAGGCCTGTTCAGAGTGGAGCCTGTCCTGTTAAACCACTGTAGGTTCTTGGCCACCGTGCTGCAGCTCAGTTTCAGGGTCTCAGCAATATTCTTATAGCCTAGGCCAACTTTATGTAGAGCAACAATTCTTTTTTTCAGATTTTCAGAGAGTTCTTTGCCATGAGGTGCCATGTTGAACTTCCAGTGACCAGTAAGAGAGTGAGAGCGATAACACCAAATTTAACACATCTGTTTCCCATTCATACCTGAGACCTTGTAATACTAAGGAGTCACATGACACCAAGGAGGGAAAATGGCTAACTGGGCCCAATTTGGACATTTTCATGTAGGGGTGTACTCACTTTTGTTGCCAGCAGTTTAGACATTAATGGCTGTGTGTTGCGTTATCTTGAGGGGACAGCAAATTTACACTGTTATACAAGCTGTACACTCACTACTTTACATTTTAGCAAAGTGTCATTTCTTCAGTGTTGTCACATGAAAAGATATAATAAAATATTTACAAAAATGTGAGCGGTGTACTCACTTCTGTGAGATAGATACTGTAATTACAAAAACGTTTGGGCTTTAGATACACTTTCATACCATGAGCTGAAATGATAATGTGTCTTCTTAAGAGGTCATACCTACTTTAATGTCAATTTAAATATGTAAGTTTAATTCCAGGCAAATATTTAAATACACAGATAACAATACATATAATTAGAGAGTGAAGGAGCAGCAGCAGACTGATGAGGTCATCTCTCTGATCACTGCTCTCACTTCCTATTTGCTTGTCGTTGTCAATACTATAGCATTCAGTACACCTGATTAGGCTCATAGCACTGCTAGTCCCTTAAGCAATCTGTCGCTGTTGTACAGGGGATCACAGGAGGATGATATTGGGATATATTCAGGTGCTTACAATAGTTGCATTTGGAAATTACTTTGAATAATATGTTAAGAAATACATAGCTGTATAAATTTGGGTCTTTCAGATTTGCCTGGAGTACAACTTAAGTAAATGCACCGCTTGTCTTCCCCCAACCTCCTATCCTTTAATTAAAATGTTTTTTTTTATTCTGGGATCAGGTAACTTTTTGTGATGGGTACCCACTCCAACTCCTGCTGTAACCTCCTGGGACACTTCACGCATCCCAAGAATTTGCAGGACCAGTGCCTTGCGCATGCACAGTGGGGAGCCATCTTTGACAGCTCAGAAGGTCATAGTTAGCTTCTATATCTGTACCCCGGCAAAGAATAGGCTCCAAGGAAGACCGTGCTGGACTCGATGGGCTGGTTAGTGTCTTTTTCCTAAAAGCCAGCAGCTACAGTATTTGTAACTGCTGACTTATTTCTTAAAAAGTCCAGTAAAGATCTTCTTTAAGGTCTTACAGTCTCCTACCTTTAGCTCTGCGGATGAGAGGGAGACATGCCTTGGTAACTCTAACGTGTGCCCCAAAGGTTCACTTCAGCTACTTCTTTATAAGTGTCCATACTGGTGAATTCCACTTCTCCAAATGTTGATATTCCAGCATTGTTAACTACGCCCCATAAACCTAGACAAGAGCAAAAATAATGTTACATTCACAACAATTGTGTTTGAGATTATCAATGTCAGAACCACCGTACAAGCCAAAAAAAAATCCTTAATATGCGAAATGCAATGTAAACTAAAGTTTTCAAAAATGGAAATCCAAGCAAATTGGTCTTTTTTGTTATGTTGTGCTATGTGGCCGGGTTTCCAGTGAGAGACCAGTTACACAATCCCTTTAAAGGATATAATGAATACTGGGAGCTATAAGAAAGGTTATTAGTGCATACACACTGTACACTGCTAGTTAAATAAAGATTAAAGTAAAACTGAAAGCAAAACTTTTTTTTTCAGTTTTGGATAGAGTGGAAAAGGATTAGAACAGATGTCAGTTTTTGTTGCGGTCTGTAACCGTCTCTCTTTTTGTCCTGTTTACCATTATCATTGACAGTAAAAGAAAATCCCAAATTTTGGGTTGTCCCTAGAAAAGTAATAGAGAGGAAATCTTCCAATGGGAAAACTAGTTCTGGTGACCCGAGGGTCCCCCAAGGAATTTCCTTAATTTGCAGGGATTTCCTCTCACTTCCTGTTTGTTTATAGGACAGGACGTAAAGGGAATTCTCCGCAATGGGACACAGATGGCAAAAAAAAAATCTTACAGGAGTTATAGCCCTGACTTACTCTATACAAAATGAAAAAAAAAAAGTTTTGCCCATAGTTCTACTTTAATGCCTCTTTCACATGAGCACTGTCAGGCGGCATAACCAGGCAGTTGAGACTCCTTTTAAACTTGCCTCATCTGCCCGTCAAAGCATATAAATAAAAAAGAGTGGCATTTATTATTTTAAAAAAAAACAGAAACTGGAAGCCCAAGAATATGGAAACACATTTACCTTTGTCTTTCACATTTTCTTTAATAATTTCCACAGCCCTGTCTATCTCTTCCTGTTTTACCACATTCAGCTGAACTGTCTTCATTCTATCACTCTTCATTTTGTCGAGTTCTTTCACACCAGCGTCTCCCTTGTCCTGCAGTTGGAAAGTAGTTAGTATATATTTTCATATGCTGCAACAAAATACCATGTGCACAGACAAATACATTAAAAATGTCATTAAAGCCAGACTATGCAAAATTCTCATGACATGCTATATAACAGGTGCATTCTTTTTTAAATATACTTGGTTGGTCCCGCTTCAGCAGCTGTCCCTCCCATCTTCTCTGTGTCCCCAATTAAAGTATTAGACCAACTGGTGTCCTCTACTGAGCATGCTCTCATTTTTGTTCCCTTCTAAGCTCTTTATTTTTCTCTATTTTCTCATCTGTGCAGCCCATATGACTACAGAGCCACACATGTGGGTGTATACACAGTGGTAAAATAACACTCCCCTCCCTCCCTCCTTATCCACGTCCTCCTATTGCTAAACACTATGGGAGTGGGATACAGTATGCTATTTGATTACATTCACTAAGAAACTTACAAAAAAGCTTAGTATTTAGAAATCAGTATAAAAATTATCAAATGCTAATGCCTGTAAAATAAAAAAAAGAGCATTGGATGTAGATGCTGTCTAAAAATGAAATCTAATGTCAATCACCTTTGACTCTGCCTACACCATATTAATGAATAAAAACACGTATTTGATGTTCAATAAAGATTTATAGGGAGCTATAAAACAACAGCAATTTGATATTAATCATTTAATTTGAATTGCTCTTCTGAAACAGGTTTATTTTAGTCATGTGACTGGCACAGCACCAATCAGGGCTGTGCAGATACCGACTCATAGGGGTTTATTTACTAAAGCTGAAGAGTGCAAAATCAGGCTCACTTCTGCATAGAAACCAGTCAGCTGCACAACCATTTACATTTGCTTACCTCAATCAGTCCAGGTTTGGAAAAGCCTAATGTCAATGGAAACAATTCTATTTCCACTCAGTCACCCATAGATCATTCACAGGCCTGGATTGGCCCATTATCAAAATATAGAAAAAAAACTGAATGGGCACAGATGTCAAGTTCTGCTCTGATTCAACAGATTGGATTGGACACAGCCCGTTTGACAGGACACTAAAAAAGTTTCAAATAGTGCCTCTGCTGGAGAGATTTACCTTCTACTTTCCTATGCCAGTGACCATGGGCAGGACGTGGAGGGAAATCTCCCTTCCAGGGATGCAAACAGCATTTAAGATCCTACAGGGTTCTAATCCTTTTGAGCAATATAAGTCGGAAATTACAAAATACCAACAATAACATAAGCCTGCAAATATATATATGACAAAAACATAGCCAAGAATCTGATAATGCTTGTAAATGCCGAAGGGTCATAAGAGAACCAAATAATGTCTGCTCAAAAGGAGAAGTATGTCCAAAGCTCTTTTGGCCTTACTTCTCCTGTGGGTTACAGGAGTGCACTTAGTTCTGCACTCCTGTGACCCAGATTCAGTCAACAATTGGCTAAAATCTGACGTTGGCTAACGTCACAGAGCCAGTATTGGCTCTGCAGGGATCTCGACAATTTTTTACTCATGAATACGAGATGATCAACATGTGACCCAGCCTGCCAATGTATGCCTGTCTTTTTCTATCACAAGGAAAAGCTACAATAGGAGACCTGAAGTCCTTCTGCCTATTGATAAAACACAAGTAAAAGCCAAAACTCTTACTCTAAAGTAGAAAATGGTGCAGGTGGCACAGACAGACCTAAAATATCTGTTTTGTTAATGTGGCACACACCACTCATGCTAGTTTCTAGTGCCATAAGAAAATACTTAATTAAAATAAATAGCATGTTACACTTACCTCCTCTGTGCAAAAGTATTGCACAGAGTGGTCCCCTACCTTCTGTTCTTGAGTTACCCACTGGCACTCTCCACTCCTTATTCCTACAGGTGTCCCTCAGCAAATCAGCAAATCATGTGCTGAGAGTACACGAGTGCGGACGCAATCTGGAGCTGGGCTGTGCGAGTCCATAGACACACAGCACAGCTCAGCCATGCCCCCTGATCCCTCCGCACAGGATTTGACTGACAGCAGCAGCTCTCAAGAGTCTCCTGTGGGACTAGGAATAGGGAGCAGTGCTGGAGACAGGACAGCTCTTGAATGAGAGAGGAGTCAGGTAAGCATTTAGGGATGGGGGGGGGGGGGGGCACAACATGTAGTGTCACATTTTTTTACCTTAAAGTGGTTGTAAAACCTTATATATACACCTAGTGAAGTGACTGGCCTCAGGTGATACACAGAGATTAAACAAATATTCCTACATAAGTTAAACCTGTTTATTTGCAGCCAACTATTCTCTACATTTCTTCAAAGTCTAGAATTTTTACAGCATGTCTGAGCTGTCAGGAAATAGGGGGCAGGGAACTGAATTTTCACTCTGCAGAACTCAGTGAGAAGAGCTCTGAGAGCTGATTGGAGGGAAGGGATACCTTTTTTCAGACAGCATACAGTACCAGAGCTGAGGCTGTCAATCACAGGCTGTGTACTGGAGCTCCCTTCCCTGTCACCTTTTTTCTGTTGGTGTCAGAATAGTTTGTCAAAGTGATTCATGCAGATAGCAGAGGAACTAGACAGCAGAGAGAAATTACATTCTTACTAAGATTCCAAGTACACCAATTTTAGTAAATATCCCCCTTGGTGCTCTGGACTGAGACAAGTACACAATATAGATGGATATGCTTTGTTCATATTTTATGTCAGAGGTTTACAACCACTTTAATGTGGGGAATGCAGTAAGGTAAAAAAAAAAACAATTAGACTTTAGGACCACTTTGGATCCCTACAAAGTGTTTCAAGTTCCCCATTATGCAGGCCATACATGGGTCGAATTCCAAATGATTTTTTGTCCAAAAATCGAAAACGTCATTTGCTTGATAATCCGATGGTGCCATAAATGATTTCGAAAATCGTCCGACCAAGTCATAAAATTCACCCCCATAGAACAGACGAAACTTCTGTTCCTTCCAGGTCACAGCTCATGCGCATATTCTTTTCGGAAAAACGATCGTACGATTTGACCATCATTGAGTTTAAAATCGGTTGTTTTTCACGAATTTTCCAACATGCCCGATCACCGAAAAGGGGACAAACCACGAAAATCATCCGGTGCCATTGACCCACTAACAGAGGGAAAATCAGCCGATTTCGGACGAAAAATTTGTCAAATTTCGACACATGTATGGCCAGCATTACTTTGACAGGAAACAGATGTGTCTTTTTAAAATGCTACTGAAAGTGCTAAAGGAGGATTTAACCTCATACCTTGAGCAGGCAACCAGCAAATACCGAGAATCCTTTATCATGTAGATGCTTAGCTATTGAAAATCCAAATCCCGAGTCACATCCTGTGATGAGCACAGCTTTATTGCCCTGCAATACAAAAGTTTAGACTTACAGTATGAGCGAGTAACAAGTACACACGGTGCATACTTAAGTACCAAATATGACATACCCCATCTGTGTGACTTGCATAGGAGCGACTTGCAGCTAAGGTAGTAGCAGAAGACAGCCTCTGCAGAAGTCTAAATTGAAAAAATGTTGTTACACAATATTGCCATTTATGTCACGTTATTTTATTTATATATAGGTATCTTTATAAATCAAAAAAATCATTCTAGAAATTTAAAAAAATAAATAAAGAAATTAGACAAGCATGCAGAGTGTTGTGTACAGTATGTACATATAACTAGTAAATAATACTGCAAATACAGTAACAGTAATACAATCATATAATTCACTGATCTGAAAAAGGCAATAGACAAAGCAAACATTTTCCAGAGAATGTCAGACAGACAAATATCTGCCATCACATGGGCGATGAAAGGCTAAAAAAATATGCTGGGAGTAAAATGTGGGGCATTTTCCTGCAGCTGGTGTCAGCAGGTGCCACATACAGCCTGCCATACAAGTGAATGGCTATATGCAGCCGTACTGATAGAACCATCGCCGTTTATCCATGCATGTGCGTACTACGTAGTTCCTGATCACAGATGTTTGCATTCAGGGAATACATCATATGCACATATGCAGGGAAATGCTGAAGAACAAAAGCTTCAGTGTTTACACTGCCATTCACTTATTTGGCAGGTTGTATACAATACCTACGGCTCTCTGGGTGCAGGAAAGCACCTGGAATTTTATGCCCAGCATATTTTCAGTATCTTAATGTCTGTGTGCATGAGGTTGAGTACAATTCATGAAACATTATGTCAAAACAATCAGTTCTTTTGTAATGAGAAAAGAGAGCAAACAAGAGGCGCAAACCCCTAGTGCATTACCCAAGGTTTATTAAAGGTAAAGAGGATGGAAACATACTCACAAACATGGCATACATGTAAAGCTCAGAAGAGTGGTAGACATGGCCATAACAGTGGCGGGGTGTTCGACTGTCAGTGTGGTTGGCTTGCTGATGCATTTCGGGGGCGCTTTGAGGAAAGAAACTCATCTATGAAACGCATCAGTAAGCTGACCATACTACTTTATTTAATCCTCTGGATATGTTCTGGGATTGTAATCTATGTTTATCCTATTCTAGCATTAAAAAACCCTCAATATTCTTTCCAAGAAAAAAAAAAAAGACAAACTTAGAAGTAGCATTGTATAAAAATATTGTTTTTTTTCCCCCCACACGGTAGTGTTGCCTTCTCAAAAGCACAGAGTGAGGAACTGCATGGTTGATGTAAATAAAATCTCAAAAGAACTGTATCTGCTTGGTTACCCATTACCTGTTTCTTGGCTGTTCCTGTACTGAGGGTTGCCAGGTAAAGTGGACTTTGATTCATAAAATGTGTTTTACCATAGACATCAACAAGGATTCAGAGGGATGTCAGATCAGGGTTTTTAATCATTGTCATTTTTGTACTTTACAGTCACAGAATCTTTTCCCCATGCTGCACTGAATAATCCAACAATGGCTGCGATGAGTTTTGTATATCCCCATCCTCTGGCATATAAAGTTGGGGTGCAGAGCAACCACTTCAGAAAACTCAGCATGTACTAGTTATTAATGTAGACTGCTCTCTACCACAGCTGTGTGATGGGGAAGAGCGATTCCCACCTATAATAATATGACAGATTTAAAGTGGTATTAAACTCACTTTTTAAAAAAAATTGTTGACAGGTAGGGCTTTTAAATGCTTCCACTGCCTGTCAGCTGTAATTTATACTGAGCTGCGCATGCGCAGCTCAACGTGCTTTAACGACACCCAATCTATGCCATGATGATGTGACTTTATGCGCATGTGCAACAGTGATGTCATCTAGGCATAGCCATTCAAACAAATAAAGAGAACCCAGAAGAAAGACAAGGTGATAGATGGAAGCGCCTGGGACCTGTGGGATGTGGTGAATACTAGTACATTATGGCATTTAACATGCAAGGGTATGATTAAAAAAAAAAAAAAAAATTCACAAAAGTTTACTACCACTTTAAGCTCTGATGTGATGCCTAAAGAGCCGATTCACCTTTACCAAAAAAACTGCCAAAGCAAGTAAGCGGTGCCTGTAGATAAAAATCAAACTGTGCAGCTTATTAAATAAATGATGCCCGTACTAAAGGGGTAAACCGTTTACGTACCTACTGTTGCCAAGACACTCCCCGCTGATTCAAACCCCCTCTCTCCTTTGTGTCGCAGTAGCTGAGCTCAGCAATGCTGCAACAGAGGGGATAACAGACCACACATGTGCAGGGATTTGAGAGCATGCTCCTGTGATAGTGGAGGTAAGCAGTGTTGACGGGGAGTGTCTTAGCAATGTTCTAGCAAGGCAAAAAGACAAAGCTCTGTGCTCCACTAATTGTAATGCAATACAAAGACGTATGGCCCCTCCCATACGTGCTGACGTCACACCGCTGAGTCCATGCGGGGCTGGCGGCCATATTTGTAAGTCCTGCAGCAAAAGGTTTTTTTTTTACTCCACGTGGATTTTATGTTCTGTTTGAATTGATAAAGTCATTAAACTACTACACTATGTATTCTATCATGGCCTACTTGTGGTGAATTCATAGGGCTTACTTCAAGCTCCTATCCATTTGTGAAAGGGATCTGAAGAGTCCTTGTTGACTGGAGATTTCTGTGGAGCTGCACATTCTTTATTTTCTGGGAAGTGCATAATGGTGGAGGAGTTGCACTGAAGATCGCCACATTTTTTGGATGCACGATAATTGTGAAACACTTAAAGCGAAGAACATCTGATTTATTATCTTTGTCTTTGGACTTTCTATAAATTATTATATAATTGCACTGGCACTTTTTTCACTATAGTGGTGTATTGATATTCATTTTTATTTTTTATTTATTGATTACTGCATTTGGTGATTATTTATTATCTTGTAGGATGCAGTAATATGCACTACGTAATTTGTTTGAGCACTATTGCAGTTATATGAATCTTGTACACTGTTTTTTTTTCACGGCTGCACTTTTATGTTTGTATTTATTTATTTTGGTTAATTTACTTTTCAGTGCTAGCAGCTTTTCACCTCTAAGCACTCACTGCTCCTTTAGTTTTTGGGTTTAAATGTAATGCAATGCCGGTCACACTGCATTACATTCTTTCCCGGCCATGCTGGCAGAGGAAACAATCAATGGGAACCCAGAAGTGATGTCATACATGTCACTTCCAGGACAAGAACAAGATGTCCACTCTCCTCCATACCCTCTACAAAGCGGCATGCGCTGTGCTGGTACAGGGCCAGCAGATGGGCAGGAGAAGCCTGGATACATAACAGGGGGCATTTTACTGGCATATGAAAGCAAATATGCGGCTGCTGCCTGAATGCTTCCATCTGAAAAGTAAGCCCTGCAACCTCTGCAGGATCCCTAGGGTTCCATGGAACCCTGATCTAAGAGAACACAATGCCACACAACTGCATTCCACCCCATGTCAACTGAAAACCAGCTGAAACTGGAACTGAAATACTGATGTAGACCAGGGTTCGCAACCTTTGCCAAATTAACATGGAACTTCAAACAGACACGCTCTTCATTGCATTGCATATCTTTCCTGCAATAAAATACACTTACCTTCCTGGAGTGAGTCAGACTATTGAAATTAAGGTATTTTTGCCTTTAGTTCGCTTTAAGGGGTTGATTAATAAATGTTTTCACACAAGATTTACACAACTGTCACCTAAGATTTTCACACATTTTTCTATTTGGATTAAAGAATATGTAAACCCAACATTTCAGATTCCTGATATGTGACTACTACAAGATTTACTTGTATGAAAAGTATCCTATTCTCTTTGTATTGTTTACTCTGTGTGAAATGTCTGATGTTACTGCCAGTCCCTCTGCTTTCCTATAAAAACTGACCACACTAGGCATGAAAACAAAGCATGGTCAGTTTTCTAGCTGTGCTGGGAACACAGCCTGCTCTCTGCCAATGATCAAACTTGTCAACACCCCTTCATTTGATTGGCTGCTATGACCAGCTTTACAGAGAACCCCCCCCCCCTTTCCCAACAGAATACACTGATCAGCCATTGGCTGCAGCGCTTGACTGAATGCTGGTTTTCCAGCACAACCGTTCAACAGAAGCTGGTCTAACAATTGTCTTCTATTGAACAGCGACAGCTACACACAGATCAAAATTTGGCTGGTTTCTGCTGAACTATGCCAATTTCGATATCTGAGAGAGCAGCTTTAGCCAGAGCAACCATTAGGGCTTGTTTACACTTGTGACCATTATTGCCGCCTTCTGCAAAATGATCCACTTTTCAGGGAAATTTGAGAGTCAGCTGGGAGGCAAGTGTCACCTCCCAGACACCTGTTTAACCCTAGAAACTTATTACACTGGAATGGGTTGTGTTTAGTGGAGGTATTGTCCACCAAACATGAACTGGGGTATAATTTCTGCCATTTGGCCACGTTAACTTAGGGATAGGCAGTTGAGAAATGGTAAAACTGTAGCTCAATTCCCTATTCCCTGCCCCCCCCCCCTTACCCAGATGCTCCTTCAAGATAAGGCTTTAAAGGGTGCTGCTTTGCCTCCTGATACAGGGAGGTGTCCTCAGTGCAGGTGTGGCAGCCAATGTCAATGCAACAGGCATTGCCTAGAAATGTGATCTTCTGCTACCAAGCAACTAAATCACTTGTTAGCAATGTCATGTAAAGCACTCAGACGTTAGCAATCTCCTGTACAGCACACCGATGTTAGCAATGTCACGTACAGCGTACCAATGTTGGCAATAGAAGGAACAGCACACCGATGTTAGCAATGTCCCGTACAGCACACCGATGTTAGCAATGTCTCGTACAGCACACCGATGTTAGCAATGTCCCGTACAGCACACCGATGTTAGCAATGTCCCGTACAGCACACCAATGTTAGCAATGTCCCATACAGCACACCAATGTTAGCAATGTCCTGTACAGCACACCGTACAGAGCCCTCTCTGTTGGCACGCGAGCCAAGTCGCCCCAGCAGCCAAGCATTGGATAACAGCGCACATAGGGGCCAATGTGAATGCTCGGAAAGGAATAGCGGCACCAGGCGATGACATCACGAGCCACGACTAATTAGCTGCGACTCGTCCGAGATTTCGCATGGCCAGACAGTGCGCTGGCAAGGATATATATATATATTGGACTGGCTGTGAGTTTTAATACATTGTAATACATTTTATTAACACAAGACTTTAGCTTGTGCTGGTGGTCAGTGGGACTTTGCCCCTTTGTGCTGGTGGTTAGTGCGACTTTGCCCTCTTGTGCTGGTGGTCAGTGCGACTTTGCCCCCTTGTGCTGGAGGTCATTGGGACTTTGTCCCCTTGTGCTGGAGGTCAGTGGGACTTTGCCCCCTTGTGCTGATGGTCAGTGGGACTTTGCCCCCTTGTGCTGGTGGTCAGTGGGACTTTGCCCCCTTGTGCTGGTGGTCAGAGGGACTTTGCCCCCTTGTGCTGGTGGTCAGTGGAACTTTTCCCCCTTGTGCTGGCTGGTGGTCAGTGGGACTTTGCCCCCTTGTGCTGGTGGTCAGTGGAACTTTGCCCCCTTGTGCTGGTGGTCAGTGGGATTTTGCCCCCTTGTGCTGGTGGTCAGTGGGACTTTGCCCCCTTGTGCTGGTGGTCAGTGTGACTTTGCCCCCTTGTGCTGGTGGTCAGTGCGACTTTGCCCCCTTGTGCTGGTGGTCAGTGCGACTTTGCCCCCTTGTGCTGGTGGTCAGTGCGACTTTGCCCCCTTGTGCTGGTGGTCAGTGAAAGCTCTGTTATTGTGTTTTTCTTTTAAAGACAAAAGATGTTAATATACGGGTTGTTATTTTCTAAAGTAAAACCTCAGTGTTCAGGTTTAATTGCAGTGTTGGCACTTTGCGATAAATAAGTGGGTTTTGGGTTGCAGTTTGGGCACTCGCTCTGTAAAAGGTTCGCCATCGCTGCTCTAATGCGCGTGAGCTATTTGACCACTTATTTGCAGTCACTTCACTGACAACAAATTGTATTTAAATTGTTGCAAATAAGTAACTGCCAACAAGTGCTCCGTAGTATAAGATCACCCATGTAGTTTGGCCCTAAGGCTACTTTCACACTGCTCAGTTTCAGAAACATGGTAAAAATGCGTGTGCTTTTATGCAGCGGTTTTGCCACATTCCCAGTGCATTTTTCACCTGGCATGCCAATTGACAAAAGCACCAAAAACACAACCGCGGGTACGTTTTTGATAGTTTTTTTTTGCCAAGGGTGGGTGCATGTTTAATGCTTTTTTGCTGCTGCCGTGTTTTGGATGCATTCCCCATGCATTTCAATAGAGCAGTGCCTTTTTTTACTGCACCAAACATGCAGCAAGCAGGACTTACAACGCACCGGCAACTGACCAGTGTGAAGAGTTTCACAGAATTTATTGGTCATGCCTTTTTCTTAATGCAAAAACAGAAGAAAAACGGATCAGTGTGAAAGCAGCCTAACAAAAGGTTCACTATAAAGTGTTATTCTGTATGTAATCATCACATAGAACTTGTTGTTTAATTTGCACAAAGGTTGCTCCGGTCACAACACAAATACATACACTGTGATATAAAATATATGTTGTTTATTTTGTCACTTCTAGCAAGCTATGTAATAAACAAAGTAAAGAAAGTTATGACCGACCATGAAAAAAGCTCTCTAAGTATAACAGGCCCTTGCAATGAAAGCTGTTTCATGGTATATTCTCTATACATAGCATACCTCACATGATTAGCTTGATCCTTCAGTTGTAATGTCCTTGTTGGGAAGCAGAGGCAGGTCCTGGCAGCCAGCATTCTCCTATGTCACTTCCAATTCACCTTGACTTCTACAACAGAACAGAACACGCCTCTGCTTTAGTCATCTGGGAACACTTTCTGTTGTTCTGTTGCAGATAATAAGCAGTCAGGAATTCTTTTGAATATTCTATTTATCAGTCCTCATGCACACAGGAGGATTGGCTATCTCTCCTAGTCAACTTTTCTCACGGCAGTGGTGTTTTTTGGCAGAAAGAAAAAGCCCGACACGTGTAGCGCATTTAGGAGCGCTTAGCGCCAATTCAATATATTGGCAGGAATATTAATTGATTGTTAACCGTCCAAATTTGGATCTATGTACAGCCGGCTTCAACCTTTTTACTTAGACTATTGTCTAGGCTTCTCTGGACTAAACACCTCCAGGGGAATTTTTTAAGGCTAATAATTCATACCGCTGATCACTTTCAAAAAAACATACATACTTGATAACAGGGCTTTTTTTTCAGGTACAGGAACACCACCCTTCCAAATCGACCCATGTGTCCACCTCCTACTCACCTTTGAACACCATTTCTTGGTTCCAGCCCCCATCCGCTTCCCAGTACTGCTCCTTTTAGAGTATTTTGTGGTGGAGTATATTGTGGTGCTAAGTAATTTTATAGAATTTGCTACTGGCAGTAAAACAGACCCCCCCGTAGCTAGCAACAAAAGATCCACCCCAGGAACAATAGACTCCCAACAGCATGCAACAATAGACCCCCCTCCCTTAACAGTAGATCCACCCATGCAATGACTTACGCCCCAGCAACATAAGACCCACCTCAGCAACAACAGATCCACTTGCAATAGACCTCCCCAGCAACGATAGACCCAATGCCAAAAATAGATCCTCTCCAGCAATAATAGATCCACTCGCAGCAACAGACCTCCCCAGCAATGATAGATCCAATGCCAAAAATAGATCCTCTCCAGCAATAATAGATCCACTCGCAGCAATAGACCTCCCCAGCAACGATAGGCCCAATGCCAAAAATAGATCCTCTCCAGCAACAATAGATCCCCCAGCAGCCAGCATCAATAGACCCTCCAGTACCCCTTGCAATTATATATATATTCAGTGCTGGGGATGCCAGAACTGCGTTCCCGCTGAAAAATAAAACCCTGCTTGCTAATAATGTCCCTTTGCCAATTGTAAAAAAAAACAGAGTGATTGAAATATTCTGCACAGCAGAGCAGATGGCAGCAGTGTATGTGCTGTTTGGCTTCTGCAAGTCCCAATGTCAGTTAGCAGATAAAGTTGTGTATTTAGTATGTTGATCAAGGAGATCTTTCACCCAGTGATACATACCTTTTCATAAAAAACACAATGAACCAACTCACAAATAAAACCACCTTAGTATTGAGAACAAATCAAAAAAAGGGACATATTTACACATAGCTAAAGATTATCTAAAGCAAAAGTAGGAGAGGTTTCATCTGCTGTTAAGTGTTTTACAAACTTTTCCTTCGATTTTTTTTTGGCTCAAAGTCTTCACCGATTTTCGATTTGTGCCCATAACTGGACGAAAAAACACACAAACTGTCCAAATGACAGATTTTCAAATGATTTTTCATCTTGTATATGGCCACCATAAGCCTGAAATAAGAAATACCTGCACTCAAATCCCAATAGCTTGTACATGCATTTATCTATCAGGTACTAAAGGGGTGAAGCCACATATTAACACTAGAAATCCCAGAGGAACCTTCTGCACACTGCTAATTACATTTTCAAATGCTACTGTGGACACAATGCCAACCTGGGGCAAGCAGACACAAAGAGGTGGGGAGCTACTAGATTTAGGTCTGGCTACTGACCCTCTACAGAAACAAGATACACCTGTTCTCAAATCCCAATAGCTTGTACATGCATTTATCTATCAGGTGCTAAATGAGTGTAACCATATAGTAACACTAGAAATCCCAGAGGAACCCTCTGCACACTGCTATATACATTGCAAAGTTTGATGGAAATGGTATATATAGTGCCTTGAAAAAGTATTCATACCCCTTGAAATTTTCCACATTTTGTCATGTTGCAACTAAATATGTAAATGTATTTTAATGGGATTTTATATGATAGACCAACACAAAATGGCACATAATTGTGAAGTGGAAGGAAAACGATAAATGGTTCTCACATTTTTTGGCAAATAAATATCTGAAAAGTGTGGCGTTTGTATTCAGCCCCTTTACTCTGATCCCCCTAATTAAAATCTAGTAGAACCAATTGCCTTCAAAAGTCACATAATTAGTACACCTGTGTATAATTTAATCTCAGTATAAATACAGCTGTTCTGTTAAACCCAACAGACAGGTCATGGATAAAGTTGTGGAGAACTTTAAAGCACGGTTAGGCTATAAAAAAAATATCCCAAGCTTTGAACATCCCAGGGAGTACTGTTCAATCCATCATCCAAAAATGGAAAGAGTATGGCACAACTGCAAAGCTACCAAGACATGGCTGTCCACCTAAACTGACAGACCGGACAGGGAAAGCATTAATCAGAGCAGCAGCCAAGAGCCCCATAGTAACTCTGGAGGAGTTGCAGAGATCCACAGTTCAGGTGGGAGAAGCTGTCCACGGGACAATTATTAATCATGCACTCCACAAATCTGGCCTTTATGGAAGAGTGGCAAGAAGAAAGCCATTGTTCAAAGAATGCCAAAAGAGATCCCGTTTGCAGTTTGTGAGAAGCCATGTGGGGGACACACAGCAAACATGTAGAAGAAGGTGCTCTGGTCAGATGGGACCAAAAGTGAACTTTTTGGTCTAAAAGAAAAACACTATGTGGGGCGGAAAACTAACACTGCACATCACTCAGTAGCACTGTCCTGATCTATGCGACGTAAAGTTGCAGCAACTTTGAAAAGGTTCCTGCACTACTTTGATGCGACTTGGTGCCAGAGAGAGTAAAGTTGGATCAAAGTCGCACTCCAAAGTCACACTGGAAATTGTGAAACTTTGGAGTCGCATAAGTGTGAATGGAGCCTAAGATCAGTGACAGAGTGGTGTGAGTTTGACCAGGCATTTGTCACAAGCTGGTGAAGGCGACACTGCATCTGTCACACCTTGATTGAGATTGGCTCCTCTAGCTATACACCACCCAGATCTGCGTATTTCTGCAACGGGTACGGCTAGGGCTGCTGTTAGAAACCATGGGGCCCCATACAGCCAACCTGACAGCCTCCCCCCCCCCCCCCCCCCCCCCCCACACACACAAAAAAACAGTTTACTATGCTTCAGTTATGAGTGAACACTCTGAGTTGTCGGTACCAATCACTCATTGTGTTCAATCAGAAAAGGAAGAGGATGGTAAATGTGACATTGTTACCGGACACTTCCCCCGTTCTCCATCCTGAACGTTTATGATTGCAGCTGCGGGTGGGAAGTATAGGTGACAAACCAGCAGCACTGCGGAGGTGGGGGCACACAGAGGGGACTGGGCAGCAGGGGGAGACATATGGTTCACAGGGAGGGTGATGGGCATGGTGGGGGGCAATTACTGCTATGGTATGATTTTCTCTGCAGCAGCTGACAGCTAGCTGGAGGGAGAAGAGAAGAAGCCAGCTTTCAGCTGCTGCAGGGAGCCATACAGGGAATCAGTTACAGTAATTATCCCTCCTGCCATGCCGATCACCCTCTCTGCCCACATCAAATTCACCCAGCTGCCAGGCCCCCCTGCTGGCCTGGGCCCCGTACAGGAGGACTGGTGGTACCCCCTTATCCTGGGTACGTCTAGCAGTTTGCGATCAGCCATAAATCAATGACCGGCTGACACTGGCCATGTGTAATCTCACATGGAGCGCTTCCCTTAGGGACAAATGTGCACCTGTGCATGCAAACTGTTTGCGTCCAAGGGTGCGCACCAATCCGTAACTACAGATAATCGCACAGTATACAATTACACATGGACATTGTCACCCGATCATCGATTCGTACAGGCTTACTGTCTGCGGTGATCAGGACACCCAGAAATCTGGCATATGGTAGTAATCGTCCATGTGAATGAGCCCCAAACCTGATCTACAGGGATGATACATGAAGATGGCTGATTGCCCAGACAGTAGCAGCGTTTTCATACATCAGCAGATCTGTAACCAGGATTGTCGCTTCACTGAGCTCTGTGAATTATTCTCCCGACCCCCTCATCCCGGCACTATTACTAATTCATGAAGGGGCAGAGCCACGTGTCCGGCTGGGCTGCAGAGCTGACAGATCGTGCCGTGTATGGGCACACACCCCGGCCTATCTATACAATGATCACTCCTAGGAGGGATCGGAGACATTAGACGTGTGTTCTACACAGAGGCCGAAGACAAACCTGACCGGTCCCAGTCTTCTCTCTGAGCTGCCCTTGACTCTACAGTGGAGGATGACAGTTTGGGAGGGAGGTGTCACTTTCTCTCGGAAGTGATATACAGTGTCCCCGGCTCCTCCCCTTCTCTATAACAGACCGGCTGGTGGTGTCGGGGAGGATAGGAAGGATGGCGCTCCCTATAGCCGGTCGCAGTACGGTCCTGCTGGTGCTGCTCTCCATCGGACTGACCCTGGCTCTAGGCTTCGTACTCCCGGAGATCCTCAAGCTGATGTTCAGGGTTCTGGGCTTTCCTACAGACCATGCGTCCCATGCCATTGTCCTGGTGTACTTTGTGTTTGTGCTGTGTGTGGCCATGCCATCCATCCCCAGGGGCACACTACCAGTGAGTACTACTCCTTTACTAGGCATTGGATGGGCGATGTGTGCGATCACTGCTCTCTGACCGACATCGGAAGGTGGCACTGGCCTCTGTATCCAAATGTTGGATCCCCAGTACTTCCAGTAAGGGAGATCTCAGGAACAGATGATGTGTAGCAGACTGCATTGAGGAACGGATGGGGGTGTGTTGGCAGAGCTTATGAATGGAAATGTAGGTCTGTTACTGCTCATGGTGGACCTAGAAGGGCTTCCACAAAGGTGCCATTCACCCCAACCTTTACCTTCTCAACAATCTGACCC